TTTATAAATATTTATATATTTTTAAATATTTATCTATTTATAAATATTTATATATGTTATGATATTTAGATTAAATTATATGGAGTCGTTTGCAGAATACGATGAAAATGGTGAAAGGTCTAAAAATAAATATAGTCTTTTAGGACTCGGTAGGCTTGGTGCTAACCTTAACACTAGATTTACGGAACCCGTCAAAATGACGGGTCAATAATTTTTTAATTTACGATTATTAATATCGTTAAAGATATTTATATGTTACTTATGGCGAATGTTACAATAACACTTGTTACTCTTATAAACTAATATAGAACAGCTGTTTTTTTGTGCTCCGTGAATCTAGTGTTAAAGAAATGTTGAGTGCTGTGCTTAAATCCTCTTCGTTGTTCAAGTTTATATTTAACGACTGAAAATAAGACAACGAACATTATAATAAATGTGTAAATCTCCGTAAATCTAGTGTTAATCTAACTTACTGGCCAATGTGTGTGTGTGTAATCGGTAGACTGTGGATTTTATGCATTTTCGAGGAAAATTAGCCGCTTCGGTACACAAAAGTAGAATCATTTAAAGAATTTATAAACACTGTTGCATTATCGTGATCTTATTAAAATTCTTAAGGAATCAAATAGATATTTTTTTAGCTTCTGTATCTCGTAATTGGTACAGACTTCGGAGTAATTACACTTTTTTAAAAGAACGAAACACTCTGAATGCAACGGTTTAAGCCTTTGGAACGTTTCTGGTTTAGTAATCAGCGTGAACGAGGACCGATAATAAAACTATTCGTCGAACATTTCTCCAAGAACTTTTCCCAGGCTTTCATCGAAATCAGCGTGCATTACCTTGACACGATCCCTTGTAAGATATGTTTCGAGATGAATTAGACGTATCAGATGTATGACAATCAATCTACGTTCGGAGTAATGTTCTTCGAGCGGGTAATGGTTGAACTAAAAGCCGGCGATCCACTTCGCGGTTTCACGCATCATAGCGACCGTGACGTTTCGATCGTGTTATGGCGAATCACGGCGGTTTTTGCCTCACAAGATGTTACCTCGCATGCTGCTTTTTCCAGCAACTTTGTACGAAATTGATTCCGCGGTGTTACAGTTAATTGATGCAAGAAAACTGATTCCATCAGAGCACCAGTGAAAATCGCATAATTCGCGGCAATCAGAATCTCGCTCGAGGTGCTCATTAATGAGGTAACCGTAACTGTATGAAAAAGAAGAAGCAGTTAATTACACCGGACGCCGTTTAGGAAGTAGACTGTGGAAGAAGGAGTACCGAAGTTTCTTGAACGGTAATTTCGAGGTTCTGTTATCACCATAAACACCGTATCCTGCCGTTGTTGTATCCCCTTTCCTCGCAATTACGTCACTAACGATTGACGAAGATCTTTCAATTTTTCGTATCGCGTCCTGGATTCTCGACGCAAGACACGCGGCGAAGGTAAAAGATGAGACGGATTTAAGATGGCATCGTTGTTTCGTCGATAAAAAGAGTGATTCAATTTTAATCCAACGTAGGAATAATACATCGAACCGCAGTATCGCAATGCACATAATCTAGTGGCATTAATTAATATTGACTTTTAAGAAATTCACGTTCTTCATAGTACACGATAATCGAAAAAAATCAGCTACAACACGCGTGTAGTTATGATAACGGTAAATTATTTTTTTAATTATATTTTCTATTTTATGGAACCAAATGGGCACCTTTTACGTTTCTACAATTCGCTTAATACTAACTCAGTCGTAACCTGGTTCGTTTACGACCCACATTTAAAACAATTACGCGAGTAATCGCAGTCAATTAAGCAGAATCTTGTGTTAAATGCAGAAAACATCGCAAGCCTGAACGTTTTTCAGATGAGGGATCCCAGTTTCCCTCCTTCGTAATGTTCAATGCTCCGCTACGGGCTAGCTGCAAGAACGAGAAGAAAAAGTAAAGCCTAGATCGAAAACGATCTAGTGCGCGGATGAAGAGTTAAGGATGCGGTGCGAGAATGTGCGAAGAAAATCTGCCGCACGAACGTTGATGTTTGCGCATTCGAAGATCGTCCGCGGGTTCTCAGCTTTATCCCACATGAAAGTGTATTTGTTCATTGAATCCCCGCGTACGTAGAATTCCAGCGGATGTTTATTGGATTCGAGTATCATTCGCAGCGAGCATGATCTCATGGTTGCTTTTACGGTTATCAGGAGGCAGGCTACATGGTAGACTTCCTCCCCAACGTTCGGCATTAGATAGATAACCGCGAAGCAAATTACGTCGCGATCCTTTAATACCGTGGGTAGCAAGCTTCAAAGACGGAGCGCAAGTCCGCGAAGAATTCGACGAAGAAAGACGGTAGGAAGAGGGCGGGAGAATTCATAATCGAGAAGGAAGCGTGCAAACGCGTGTAGTAATAATACAATAATGTAACGTACTTGTGGTGTAATGGCCAAGCCCCGGAGACGTGGACAGGAAGAAGAAGAAGAAGAGGAAGATCGGCTGGATTCCGCCGAGAACTCTGCGCCCGTGCGCCATGTGATAAGCACTTAACGTGTGCATCGGAAATATTCACCAAGCTTTAATACGTGCGAAAGTCGGGGAAAGAAATTCTGCCTTTCGGAACTAACCGAACGTCTCGGAAAAACGGGATACAGTAATTTCTCGCTAATCGGCTCACTCGTAACAAAGCGAACCGATTTCGATCAAATGTTCAGCACGCGTACAAGTTGCCGGGATTTACGAAAGGCATTTTTAAAATTTTTGTTATAGGCTCAAATAAAACAGTTCGAAAACGAGGATTTTTAATTTTTTCTTTTCATTCCAGATAATAGCAAAATTAAAGAAAAAAGCTTTTTAGCCATCGTCTAGTAGACTAAGCTCCTCTGTCATCTAAAAAAAGGTCAAGTCGTTCAGTTTAGTTTTCAAAAAGTTGTTGCATTTTAAAAGATTTTGCGACCCACTGTATGTACAATTCACTCAGTCAGCTTCATACTAACAAAACGAACATATTAACTCTTTCATTAATTTATTATATTTTTAGTATAGCCTAAAAATATTAGGATGCCTATTTTTTTAGGATAGTACTGTATTGGAGAAAAGATCTCGAAAAATCGCTCTAATTAGTAGCGCTCTGTGAACTTTCATGCGTACTGGTCTTATGAAATGTTACTTGTTTTAAGAAGTACAACCGTGACATCATGAAAGATGAACCAGATAATCCTTAAAATAATATGCAACGGAAAGATTTTATTTTGGGAAATCTTTGCAACAATTTGCTTCTTTTCTTATTCTTATTGAAACATTTTTGAGACCGAACGCATGTAAATATTTATAACTTAATCACTCACATATAAATAAAATATTCATAAATATTCACAGAAATTTCATTACGAGAATAAATTTTCTGAAGACTCAAAGACTTTCAATTCTCTTTAAAATGAAACATCTTCTGATTATTAAAACCAATAATCTTTAATTCTAGCTATTACAAATTTACGAAAATTGCAATTCGCATAAAGATACATGATCTATTTATGATAATTCCTTGTAAGCTTATAAAGTTAATGACATCATGAAAGATGAACCAGATTAGCGTATCTATAGTTTTCCAGGGTAAATGAACGTAAAATCTGGTTATCTCAATGAAAAGTTACAAGTAATGGAGTCCTATTATACGAGCCTACCCGATTATATGAACTGGTTATGACCAGCCGAGTTCCTATAAACGATGTTCTACTGTAGTACTTAGTTCATACATCCGTGAACACAATTCCAGTATCTTTTATAGTCATCGCTGTTTGAAAAGTGTAGCACGAGGTCTAGAGAAAAATGTGTCAAACGACGAATAAATGAACAAAAACGTCCAATAAGTGAACAACGTTTGTTCCTTCATAAAAAAGGTAACATTTCATGAGACCAGATCGCATGAAAATTCACAGAGCGCTACTAATTAGAGCGATTTTTCGAGATCTTTTCTTCAATGTAGTACTATCCTAAAAAATAGCCCGCATATAATACGTTAATGAAAAAGTTAATATGTTTGTTTTGCTATTGTGTGGGCTACAAAAGTGTTCGTACGCCTTTTAAAACGTAATAACTTTTTCAAAACTGAACTAAACGACTTGAATTTTTCTTTTTTTAACAGAGGGATTAGTCTACTAGACGATGGCTAAAGTTTTTTTTTTATTTTGCTATTACTTGAAATAAAAAGAAAAGATTAAAAACCCTCGCTTTTTTAACTTTTATATCTAAGCCTATAACGAAAACTTAATTTAATTCTTTTGCGTGCTGAAAATTTGATCCATATTGGTTAATCCAGAGTCACGCTACAGGCGTTAAAAGATTTTTAAAACTGCAGATTTCTTACAGTTTTTGGTGAAAATCGTGATAAAACTGCGATTTTTGCGATCTTAAATCAAGTTAACAACGTGAACCGATTCCGATAATATTTTCAACATACATATAAGTCACAAAGTTCTACGACAGACATTTTTTTCATTTTCGTTATAGGCTGAGATAAAAAAGTTAGAAAACGAGAGTTTTTTTATTTTTTTGTCATTCCAAGTAATAGCAAAATTAAAGAAAAAATCATTTTAGTATCATCTAGTAGACTAGTCCCTCTATCGTTTAAAAAAATTCAAATCATTTAGTTCAGTTTTCAAAATAGTTATTGCGTTTTAAGAGGTATACTAACACTTTTTTGGGCTACTGTATATGGATTCAGGGAAAGATTCTGTCGTTCATAAATCAATCTCTCTAATAGCAATCTCTTAAAAGCTTGGATTTTTATATGAAACGAATTTGATTTCCTGTATCAATGATTCCACTATTTTATCATTAAACTATAAACAATTTTTAAATTATTATACTGTATAAAATTAAGAAAGTAAGCTGATACTTACATCGAGCTTTAGAAGACCCAGACTGTTGTAATGGCAGTATAGTTATTACTACAACTTTATGGATATTATTATTAGAATTCATCTGTTGTTTGATTTCAGTACAGAGAACCGGAAGTACTGGACATAGACGCGTTAAACAACACGAAAAGAGCTGGCAAGAACGTTTTGTTCTTCAATCGTGTGCCAAAAGTGGGTTCGCAGACGTTTATGGAGCTGCTGAGGAGGCTGTCTATGAGAAATGGCTTCTCGTTTAATAGAGATCGAGTGCAGAGAGTCGAGACGATACGCCTAGCTCCCATTGAACAGGTACTATAATATTCGGAAAGTATATTGCAAGTCATTCAATAAATATTTTAAGACACTCATTTCCATTTTTATACGAATTCGAAATAACGCGATTTACAAAGCAATTGTACTCTTAGACGACATATGTCCATTAAATACTGTTCAGGTCGTACCTTTCTTCAAGTTTAATTTACCACTAAATTTACGTTCATATCGTTCATATCGTAAAGTTACATTTCTGAGTTATTTATTCAATTTATATGTTACTTACGACAAATGTTACAATAACACTTGTTAAAAATCTAAAAATAAATAATTTAAAATAATTAAAAAATAAATGTCTTATTGTTACTTTTATAAACTAATATAAAACAGCTGTTTTTTGTGCTCCGCAAATCTAGTGTTAATGTTGAGTGCGAAAAAATTAATATTTAGTGCAAAACCTGTATACAACACAAAATTACAGGACATTTAATAGAAACAATAATATTATATGCACCAACAATTAAAATACCTATACGTATGCGCACATATTACATAAATTAGTAATTGCGTATAAAATTACTGTAAAAACGTATATTAGTCATTAGTCCAATATACCTGCACATTAAATATTACCATAGGGAATATACTATCATATTTGTTGTTTGTATTTATTTAAGTACGAAACAAATCACACATAGTAATCAAAGATTTCTGTGCAGTACTGCAAATCTAACGCTTTACCACCGTTTTGTGAAACACAAACAAAATAAACATGCGATATTATGGTACCTATATCGTTACATACTAAACTGCTTTCGCTGTTTAGCTCCAGCTCGCCACAATGGTCAGCAGTTACTCGGAACCATCTGTATACATAAAGCACGTGTGCTTCACCAACTTCACTGAGTAAGTTCCATGAAATTGGACGTAGCTTGTTAAATCTGAATTCCACTTGCCTTTTCTACCTAACGGGTGGTCCAATAACTATCAACGTACATACGCAATGAACTGTAGAAAATATTTCCGATCATTCTTTAACGATTTGAACTCTAAACTAAGAAGTGTTACTGAAATTTATTATATATATATATATATATATAATAAACTATATATATAAAATAATATATTATATATAAATAACTATATATATATAAAAACTAATCTAAACTAAGAAGTATTACTGAAATTTATTTTATATATATATATATATATTTGATAATTATGATGATAATTATTTCACGTGTATTGATATATCTACCTGAAGATTATCAGTCCACAACGGTCCAGGAATCTACTTCTTGTGGCAGAAAAAAACGATTTTTCAAATTTAATACTTGCAGAAACTTTTTTACTCATTAAGCGGGGACACTGTAAAACTATGAAATCCATTCAAGTGAAGAAATCCAAAAATATCATCTCATTTGCAGAATCTATCTAACATGAGTTGAAAAATGAATTAATAGTTATAGAAAATTCGAACTTTCATTTCGCAGGAAAAAATATAGTAAACATCCCTCTCATGATACTACCGAAAATACAAGCAAACATGTAATTCAAGCAAACATAGATTTTTCAGAAAAAGTCATTTTTCTCGCAACGTGGCTCGTTTTTATAATTACTAGAATAAATATAGAATACGAATATAGAATAATCGTATCCATTCTTCCCAAATTGTCCATTTTTGTGCGCAATCTGAGCGCGAATTAGGGAGAAATTATCGTATTTACAAGTGTGAAAATAGGAAATCACGTAAAGATTCTACCGATCGCTTCGTTTTCTTCCGCATAGAAACCAATACTGTCTGAATCTCAGAATTGATCATTACAAAAACAGAATCACAGGATTCACCTGATAGTCTTCAGGAAATCCTACAAGTATTTTCTTTGTTCATGAAAAACGGTAACAAAACATAATCAAATAACCCGGAACAACGCTCTAGAGTCTGAAGCCCGGCGGCGCATCTGATCCTCGACGTTTTTTCTGCTCAGATTCAACCTTCCGCAGCCAATTTACATCAATATAGTCCGAGATCCTGTTGAGAGAGTGATATCCTGGTACTATTACGTGCGAGCGCCTTGGTATTACGTCGAGAGAAAGCAAATATTTCCAGACCTGCCTCTGCCGGATCCCAATTGGCTGAAGAAGGATTTCGAGTCCTGTGTACTTAAGGCGGATCGTGAATGCAGATATCTGGAGGGCGAAATCCACGAGGGGATCGGCGATCATCGCAGACAAACGCTCTTCTTCTGCGGGCACAGCGAGAGGTGCACGTAGGTATCTTCTAAGTCGAACTTCCTCTATACTTTTGCCAGGGTACTATCAACTTTCGATATGAAAGTAAACGATTCTACATATAGAAATCATTCAATAAGAATTTCTAGGACCTCAATCACATATTGCCTAGGTCGAGGATCTCTCTCGAGGAACACCATTCAATTGATGAAGTCGCACGGAAATGTTTGCGTAGATTAGACCGATACAAATTTTATTTGAGATGAGAATAATAGACGATTTAGTTATTTTCACAATGCTGTTATTTGAAAGTAATCCCATTTGAAATAATAGCAATTTCGAACAATGAATTATTTCGTTACGCTTTTTAATTTCAAGTATATCAAAAGAAATAATCCTTAAAATAATATGCAACGGAAAGATTTTATTTTGGGAAATCTTTGCAACAATTTGCTTCTTTTCTTATTCTTATTGAAACATTTTTGAGACCGAACGCATGTAAATATTTATAACTTAATCACTCACATATAAATAAAATATTCATAAATATTCACAGAAATTTCATTACGAGAATAAATTTTTTGAAGACTCAAAGACTTTCAATTCTCTTTAAAATGAAACATCTTCTGATTATTAAAACCAATAATCCTTAATTCTAGCTATTACAAGTTTACGAAAATTGCAATTCGCATAAAGATACATGATCTATTTATGGTAATTCCTTGTAAGCTTATAAAGTTAATCGAAAACTTGGGCAGTACCAGAGATGTTTCATGAAAAATACGATTTTCGCAAAACTCGTTAATAACTAATTAAATTATTAAATTGATCAGTTGGATTGAGTTAGTTAAATTGAGTTAAATCGATCGAATATATAAACTGATTATTTTCTCTCTTTTCCTCAGTCCGTTCAACACTGTTGGTGCCCTGGAACGAGCGAAAATGGCGGTGGAGAAACATTATGCGGTGGTTGGTGTACTTGAAGACTTGAACACCACTCTCTCAGTATTGGAAAATTATATACCTCGATTCTTTCGTGGCGCCACTGACGTTTATTACGGTAATTTTTTCTGTTCCACGATTTCCATTTGTGGCTGCATTCTCAATTGTTTTATCTGAACAAATTAAAATAATGATAAGAAGATGGATATATAATGTATAAACTTTTTTTTATTTGAAATGCAATACGTTTCTTTGACAATGACGAGAAGAGAGATTTGCATAATGAATTAACGTATTACAATGATGGCAAAAAGTTGTCGGAACTTATTTTATTACGCTAGATTATATGATTAATGAAATAAAAGAAAATTATTAACAGTTCTGTTAGTTACTAGTAAAGTTGATGCTAAACAGAGCGTCCCAAAAGTCACTCGCAATCGAGAAATGAGGAGTTCCTGAGATTATTTAAAGTGATTTTTTCCTTCGCACAAATGCAATCCGCGGTTTTGTTTACGAGTTATTAACGAAAAACAGTGACCAATGAGAGGTGAGATCAGCTAGCCGGAGGCGGCCGAGCCAATGAGCAGAATTGGGCTTCGTTAATAACTCGTAAACAAAGCCACGGATTGCATTTGCGCAAAGGAAAAAGTTACTTCAAATGGCATCGGGAACTCCTCATTTCCCTATTGTGAGTGACTTTTGGGACACTGTGTATACAGTGTATAAATTTAGAATATATGTAAAGTATTGGAAATTATTCAATACGTATCTCTTGCAACTATCTATGTATCTGTGAAATCCGTTAAGTGAAAATAGAAAACGTAATCTGTTCCAACGGGTCTACGTAGATTCTTACGACTGGCCTAATGTATTCGCACTTATGCCAAGTGATACAAATTAATGTAGCCTGAACTGTTTTCAGACGGAGTAAACTCCTTCACAAGAATCAATCGAAACTTCTTCAAGCCTCCTGTCATCGAGGAAGTGAAGGACATGGTGCGCAGCAATTTCACGAGGGAAATCGAATTCTACCAATTCTGCAAGCAACGGTTACACAAACAGCTGAGGGCCTTGAAATTATTAAAGAACGTGTAACTTTCCGAAGGCAACAGCTTCTAATGCCGTTCTAGGGACTGAACAAATTCGATGGACAAGAAAACTATTTCTACGACGTCTGCTCCGACAAAATTGATTGGTGTGGTTAAAGAATATTCAACTTGTATGAAAGTCCGAAGAGACGAGCAATATTTCGTCGCAAGAAAAAGTTGCCCTGTTCGAAATGAGAGAGTAGTAACAGCAAAAGCGAACGTCGGCGGAGTGGGAGATTTACAAAAGATCGTTGCCTTTGAAGAAAACTCGTGTGATCCATAATGGACGTCGACCGATCGACGCGAGAATCAATCTATGTTAGCAAACAAATATTCCGATAAGCAATATTCGTTGTGACTTGCGAAAGTGAGTGACCTGAACCTGAACGGGACGCTCGCAACGAGTGCCGTTTTTATTTTGTGATTGTTTATCCTATATTGTATCGTGTAACTTAAGAGGACAGTGTGATGTAATCCGTTGAAAAACGACGAGACTCGCGAGTACGCGCGGACGCATGGCATTGGTCGTACTTTATTTATACATGTATGGAAAATTACGATCCCTACGCGAGTGCGTAGCGTTTATTCTTTTTATTTCTTTTTTTTTGAATTATCTTTTCTTTTTCGCGGCGATTCGAGAATCCTTTCAAGACTGATCAAAGAGACAGACACTGTTCTTATCAAAGGGTACTTAATATCAGCAACGACCGAAACGCACAGGGTAATCGTAGGATATACTGCTTTCCGGGCAACTCGGCTGTCTTTTTTATCAACGTAAATCGTTTTTTAATGTCCAATTGTTTCACTCTTTCCGTAATAAACCGTTGCCATTTCGAAGTGTACGAGTTTTCATTCTTTCACCTCGCAACACCACCTCTGGTAAAAAATCTAACAGCCACGAAGAACCGGACACTGTACTGACGGATGTAAGAGAAGCCTCGCTGATAAGAGTTCCAAGAAAAATCTCTCTAAACATTCAACCGCAGACTCAAAAGACACTATAGAATAGATTCGAATAACAGAATTATTTCATATATTTACCCGAGCCCATGTTCATCTTAAAATACACCACATGTCAGTGTCTCACGCCACTATAATTAATGAAAATTCTACTTCTGAATTGATTGTAATATTCTACAAATATGATAAACAAACTATCTTAAATATTGAAGTGAAGTTATTGCAAGACTTCTTGAGTCTAAACTGTAGTTTAGATTAATGAGGGCAATAACAGGTAACAAATACATACATATATCGAATTCATCGTTTTACTGTATCTGAATTTCCTGAGACCATTTGTGACTTAACAGTATAATTATTAACTAAACCTAGTTAACGTTAAGAATTATTGAAAAATTGTCTTTGACCGAATTTCTAATTTTTTCCCGTGATTTTCAACAGCACAGTAACATTGGTACCATAATTTGTACATTAAGCCTGTTGTTATGTATTATATGTTCTTTATTCAAAGAAATGCATATTTCGATAATGAAACATTACAACAATAGAGCATCTTAATGGTGTTCGAAAATTCGAGTTATTAGGAATTCTGTTGTGTTCAAACTGAATAAAATGATGAAAAACAGGTAACAAATTATTATTAAATTGCTTCATATTGTTCCTGTTGATAAGAAATCAAAAAAATTTAAAAATCGAATACAGCAGAATCTCGTTTATTCGAATCTCGAAAATGATGCCTGCCACGCAATTGCGTTATTCTTGATTTTCATCTTATTTCTAGCCATAGTTCTACCTGACCCAATTTGTACCATGAATTATGAAACACCCTCTATAGTACAGTTACTTTCTGTAATGGTGTTCCCGATGAGGTCAGTTTACTTTACTTTTTACATCTTTGCCTAGACAATAAACAAATGCCGTCAGTTCAGGAAGTCACCGCTTGGTCAACATTACCACTAACGCGACACTTCGAGCAAAAGTATGTTTATGCCGAAGCTGCGATAGATGATAAGAGCAACAAGGAGAGTAGAAATACATTCTATTGTTTTAGAATTGGAATGCGCACATATTTTTCAATACACCAAATTGTCGAACTCGTCGATAATAAGTTTTCTCAAGAATTCACATTCATCGTTAAAAAACCTGAAATGATTGAAATTGTACTACGAGTAACATTATATAACCAACTTATTTCTTAATTAACTTAATCGTTTCCTTAAAAGAAAGCACGAGCTTTTCTTCAACAGAATTGACACTGAAAATAGTTATAGTGGAAACGACCGTAAACCAATTGTTACTTAAGTTCATACCAATGTCACGCAAAATTTAATGCAGTGTTTAAGATAATACAGACAGACAGACTGCTCACATTCATCCTAAGCATTAATAACTAAGCTAATGTTGTTACAAAGATTTAGTTTTCCCTTTTTTAAACAAAGATAAATATCTGACTGTCACATACATTGCCACGTTTTTATCCTAAATGTGTTGAGCATGTATGTAAATATTAAGTTAATCGAATTATTTCTTGATCAAAAAGTGGTTTTACAGAAAAAACAGTTAAATTTTGCTATATTAAATTCTATTAATAATAATTGCATGTTAAAGTGACAATAACATTTAATTACATTTTTTGTATGTTTCGCAGTGGCAAATAACATTGAATAATTAAATGGTTCTGTACATAATTTAATCAAATACACATATTAACGATCAGACATGACCGCATCAAATCAAAGAAAAAATTGCCATGCCAAACAATAGATTAAATCTAGTTTGGGCGCTAGTTTAAATTTAATATGTTGTAAAATGCTTATTTCTCTGTGTTACCCATCCGTCAGTTCAACACCTGACGGTATGTTTAATTTTCAATGTATGCACTTTCCTCTGCAACCGTTTGATTGTGTCAGCATATCTGTGTGAGAAATTTTGGTGCGTGGCCTTACTTTCTGCGTGGGCATTTTTGCGTTTCAGCAATCACACGATAGCAACTGCAATACTTAACTGTGCGGTTATGTGATTTTATGTGACTTTATGAGTATCACCTTGACATAACGTGACCTGGTCGTAACATTGACATGATCTTGGCATGACCTTAGCATAACCACGACAATACCTTGACATAACTATGACATGACCTTGACCTGTCCTCGACTTGACCTGAGCTAATCTAGACGGTTCTCATTCGATGATCGTCTGGTCGCTAATTCCGCGATTTGCACCACTTTAAATGGTTAAGCGACCGGCACGTATATCATGATCACGTGACTAATTTTACCCTTATGCTTGCGCAAATGGCTATTAGCAACCGGTCATTACCCGGGATCGAAGAAACCGGCATCGCGTGTCTGTTCGTTGCTGTTCGCTTCACCACGCCGCTTCGAGAAGCCATAGTCTGCTGTTCCCAAAGGCGAATGATAAGAGGATCATGCTGCTGTGAATCATCCGAACTTCACGCCGCATATACCGTCGGGTAGTTTATTTAACTCGAGATATCGGCAAAAAGTCAGCACACATGCATTTGCGCAATCGTTGTGCAATTATTGCGATTGTAAATTTGGAAGATGAAGAAAATGTCGAAGATATCGATTTTCTATGGACCATCTCCTTGAAACATGTTGACATTCGAATTCACGTATTTGCAAAAATCAGGATTTCTTCACGTAAAAAGTACAGTAAATTCTTCTTAATTGACGCTCAGATTGTGCACAAAAATGGACAAGCAGGTACGATTATTTGAGTCTTGTGGCTCGTTCTTATAGTTATCGACACAATCGGTAACTATAAAAATTATCCCCTGTTCAAAAATTGTCTATTTTTGCGTACAATCTGAGCGTCAATTAGGGAGAATTTACTGTAATCATTAAACTGCGGATTTTTCTGGAAAATAAAAATTGTCCAAGCTGATTGTAAAACACGTAAGTCATATGAAAATGTCTTTCCCCTTTTAACAGTTTGAATGAGTTCTACATAACATAAAAATATTCTAAAAGTCTTCTCATGTCTTTACAATATCGTTTTTGATTTAATCGTTTTTGACAAAAATGCATAAAATCGGAAGTTTCTTAATCATACGTCGAGATCATACAAAGGAAGTGCTGTTTTATCTATTCTCCGATGTTTGGAACGTTACGAAGAGGGTGAAAATAAGTGAACGAGGATCATGAAAACGTAACATCAGCCTCTATTGTGCCAAAAGTAATATTTGAAGGGATGCGGACGATTCGAAACGATTCGGACGCCGCAGAAAGAGACGAGGATGATTTTCTCGGACTATAAGAAGGCAGCTTTCTCACCAATCCAGCGGCTCAAGGTCTGCCCTCACGCAGCGGCGATAAATCTTGGCCGATTCTCGACAATTATTTTACGCGTGTTTTACCTGCGCGAACACTTTGAAGCCCTTGCTGTGTGGTCAGATAGTCGGTGGTTGCTCGATGCATTGGAAATCAGCGAAGTGGAAAGTTCCGGGCAGCGTCCCTTTTCCATTCTTTTATCTGACGGAAAACATCGGTATCAAGCATTCCGAATTCAGAAACCACCCTTGAAATTGGATGAAAATCATGATTTTTCTAGATCGAAACGAAATCGAGGAAATCAGAAGAAACGTTGGATCGTTTCTTTATCCGAAGAGAAAAGAAGGGTACGATGATTTCATAATCTTTTTAAAAGTCTACACTTTACATTTAAAAACTTTTTAACGAATTGTTCAATACCAATTTCAGTCGTGCACCAATAAGCCACCGCTTGTAATATCCCTTTTAGTGCCAACGACGATATATCGTTATGTATATGATGGCGCCAAACTATTCGGGATGCACCTAGTATATGTATTAGTAAGCATCAATGCTGAATAAATTATTTGTGCGAGTAATAATAAGTAAATATTACACAATTTTCCAACAGTCTGATAACCAAATATAAATATTTATAATAATACTAAAATTGTGTTCAGTAACATTATACTAGCTACACAACAATTCACTTGTTTTGTAACAGATCCTTCTGACGCTTGCCCGTGCATCATAGCATTATTCTTCAGTTTTGTGGTCCGATATCAGTTATTTTGTTATAAACCATTGAAAGTGCAATATCTATACTTCATACTAAGTGATCTACATAAAGCTACGATGAAACGATGATTTTTCTTATATGCAAATACTGTTTCTAACAAAGACAATTGATTTTTCTCTCTTTCATGTTGGTTTATATTTATGTTATTCGTATGATTTTCAACAAACATTTAAATACAATTGGCGTTATTTTATTCTCTCATTATTTCGTAATATGCTTCTTCTTGAATTTTGCAAATATCATTCTTACTTTGATTTTTATAAGCTTTTTCCCCAAACCTTAGCAAATTCGTCAAATTGGTCCGGTTAAAATCTGATAGCTTCATTAGGGTTATCATACAGGCTGTCCGTTTAATCTGGTAATCCAGAATATCTCAGAGAGACTACGGAAAATAGTGAAAAAATGATTTAACAGAAGTCATTCGGTATGAAAGGGGGCGTAACGTGATATGAACAGTTTTCTTGTTGGCGATAAAATGGCGGATGCTTTTGCCATAGAACCGAATATATCGAGCACGGGAGACAGCGTCATAAATATAGATAAAGTTTCAAAGGGTCAGATGTTTGTGCAATGCAAAACAATGGCCAACACGAGCACGGCGCACGAGTTGTTCTTCTTTTAGCGCAGTCGAAAGTCCTCTAAAAATATACAAGGAATCTTGGCCTATCGAAAAGAACAGCGAAGTTATTTTCAGCTGTTTCTTCAACCTGCGATTAAAAATTAATTCACTCTTTCCTATTCTGCGCGTACAATAAAAACGCAGGATAATTTATCGACTTTGTATTGTCGTTACATAAATTGTGCCGAATAAACCATCGCTGGAACATTGAGATAGTATTTGCTTGTATCAGGCTGTTTTCAATCCGTACATTTTTAATACGAGCAAAACTTAATTGATATCGAGCACGATTTACGGTAATCGACGTGTACTTCGATCTATCGGCCCAAGTGATAAACTTAGGGTCCAATGCGACCTCAGATTGCCATGACGCAGCTGTAGATAGCAATTGCCGAATTACATATTTTACTTACGAAAAATACGAACGCTCGATCCATTGGAATCGACTTATATCATTTCGTTAATAACGATTTCGCTACATCATTGCCAATAAAATCCGTACGATAATTCACAT